GGAGGCCTTCAGTGCACAGTGGGACAACTGGGCTTAGAGGTGCATTGCCTCTTTCCTTTCTTGTTTTCCTCTCTTCCCTGTGTCCTTGTCTGCTCTTCACTTCAGCTCAGTTGGCATTTATGGAGTGCCTACTGTGTGCCTGGGCCCCAGAACTGTTCTAGGTACCAGCGATTTTTGTTTTTCTCTCCTGTGCCCTCCCTGATGTCTACCTTAAGCCTTCCCTAGGACTAGAAGAAGTAAAGCTGATTCCAACCGTGAGACAAACTCAATAAAGGAAGGTGCCGTGTTTGCCTGTTCTCGGGCAGCTGGTCCTCCTGACACTGGGCAGGTGCACCAAGCCATCCTCGCTTAGGGCTTAGGGCGGCAAAGACAAGCAGCCAGGCTTCTGGCTGTGGTCCAGACGGCACCTCTCAAATGTTCACATGCACGTGGATCACCATGGGACACTGGTAAACACAGGTTCTGATCAGTGGGTCCAAGTGGATTTCCAAGGTCCAAATTCCCAACAGGCTCCCAGGTGAATCCGTTGCTGCTGACCCACAGACCACACTGATAATAGAGAGGTCATACTTTGCTTTCCTGGGAGAAAAAATCTACTAACCTTTTAAAGTTATAGCAAGAAGATCACTTCATCTATAATTACCCTTTAAAAGCAAAAGATTGCCTTATTTAGCACCTGACCAGCTAGGGTTGATTCAGACCTAGCTGCGCCATCTTGGGAAAGTTATTTATGTTTTTGGACCCTATTTTCCTCCCTGTAACTTGAGGCCGATGATATCTAGCTGGTAGACTTGCTGTGAAATTTAAATGAACGTACAGATGCAATTGCCCCATGGTGATGTCGGTGAGCTTCCTCTGGTATCTCCATTCTGGATGGGTGGGAGTATTTGCTCCTCATTGCTGAGCCCCAGGAAGAAGGCCAGCTGGGGAGCTGCCTTCCCAGGCACTGCTGCTGCCTGTTTGCTAGCTCCTCTGTGCTTCCTCCACCTAGATGGGAGCACGGTGGAGGAGGCTACCTGCTGCTCCTCCTTTAACAAATGTTTATTGAGCTCTTGCATGTAGAGGCCCAAGATGAATCAAAAGTGGCTGCTTTGTCCTAGCTCTATGAAGCTTACAGTCCCGTGGGGACCACGCTGTGGATGGGCTCATCATGACAGCATGTGGTAGATAGTCTTTAGTAAAGAAGTGCAGCAGAAACTTGAGGCAGGGGAGGAAGTAACTCTGGGGAACAGCATCAGAAAAACGTTTTCTAAGAAAGAAGATACCCAACCTGGGTTTTGAAGTATCCATAGGAGTTCACATTGATTGGAAGAGTAGACGGGATAGTATTCCGGACAGTGAGAAGTCTGGTAATCCAGGAGAAGAGTGGGGGCCTGGGTGGGGAAGCAGAGTTAAAGCTGCCAAAGCAGGGAGGTGGGCAAGGAGCCCCACCTTTACCTGGGGACAAGTGTGCAGGGAGGTGGGCAAGGAGCCCCACCTTTACCTGGGGACAAGTGTGCGTGTGTGTGTGTGTGTGTGTGTGTGTGTGTGTGTGTGTGTGGTGAGTGGTGCTGCCCATCATTCTAGTGTCACTGCTGCCCTGGGCGAGAGCACTTCTGGGGGCAGAGAGGACAGGAAGCAAAGAACCTTCTGTGAATTGAGTGTGAAGGAAGGACAGGATGAGTGAACTCAGCAGAAGGACGCAGGAGAAGCAAGAGGGAAGTGCTGTGGGGCAGAAGGAGTTTGAATTTGTCGGCTGGCTCACCAGAACACCATAGCCTAAGGTTGCAGACTTCAGTGTTAACAATAAGTGATGCTTATGACATTAGTCACTGATATTTGTTGACCCCTTTTTACATATCCGTGTTCTCTATATATCACGTCATCCATGTGAGGCAGGGACCATCATTTATGGCCATTTCACAAGTGAGGAAACTGAGGTACCACAAGGGTAGGTACTTGCTCAGTGCCATGTGGCTGGGAAGCAATGAGTGGGATTCAGGCCAGGCCCTTCACACTCTGTGCCCACCAGCAGCCATCTCAGCTGCCCTTTCTTACCTTCGGCCTGGGTTTGCGAGTGGGGGGCTCCGGGGCCTTCCGGCCCAGCCGCCTAGTGTTCCAGTAGGGAAGGGGTGCCCATCCTGTGCCTGGCAGCCCTCTGCGCTGACAGTAGGTCCCTGATGACGGACAGACCCACAGACCCAGGGCCTGGCAGCGGTGCCACTCTGCCTATGGCTGAATCCAGTCCTGCCTGTGGAGGACTGAAACTTACGGCTGAGGTCACCCAAGAAGCCTTCCCCACTGAGCCTCTGGCTTGGGGTAGCTCAGCTTCCGTGCCACTTCTGGGTACCTCTGGTGACTCATTTCCCCCGAGCCAGCTGCTCTGTCTGGAGCAAGGCCAGCACTCCTCAGTAAGCTTTGTCCCCCAGTCCAAACAGCAAAACCGTCAAATGGAAAATGGAGAAGCTGTTAGAAGGGCCAGTGCAGCAGAGGAAACAAAGCTCCCACCTCCCCTGGCACAGGGCCAGCAGCTCCGTGGGGGTTCCTGCCTGGCTGTGCCCATTACCTAGCTGTGTGACCTTCAGTGAGCCAGAGGCCCTCTTTCCTCTTGTGCAACAACAGATCTTTGGATTCCTGATATTCCCGTTTTCCGTAAGTATGTAGAGATATTTTGCTTCTAGATGGTATGCAAACATTTTCCTCTTAATTCCACTTCTTCCTGGATCTGTGGCTTCCTCTGAGTCCTGCCACTCCCCACCCTGTTTTCAGTGCCAACCTTTTGTTTTGAAGTCAAAGAGAACCAGCTGGGGAGACTGTGAGCCATGTGAGGCTGTGACTCCCTCCCAGTTCTGCACAAAGTCCCCCAGGGTCCAGGGCTTCCTTCCTGGGCACCAACTGGTGCTGGGCCATGCTCAGGGCCGTGGGGTTGTAGAGCCCTGGAAAGTCCTCTCCTCTCCCAGAAATAAATCCCTTTCTACACCCAGACTGACATTGGCTATGGCAGTGCGGTTTACTCCTCTAGCTTAACAAGGGTCCCAGGAGACTCAGCTAACAATGGAGGTGGAGGAGGAAGGTCCTGGGTGAGGAGGGGGGTAACAAGGCTGGAAGAAGCTTAGCTGGGGGCATTCCAGGGCCCCGGCAGCCTGCCTGGCAGTGGTGAGACTGCAAAAAAAGCATGTGTGTAAACAAGCACGTGTGTAAAAGTCCTACCTTCCTATGAGGGGCTGAGATAAGAGGGATGAAGGTGCCAGGCATTGGCTAGAGGCTGACAGCAGCTTTACTGCCCCTACTGTGTGCAGCCACACTGCTCAGACTGGGCTCCAGCTCCTCCTAGGCATTACAGCCTCTCAATAACCTGCAGGCAGCTTGTTCCTTCAACTCACAGAGAAGTCAAAGCTTACAGAGGCCACCGGCCTCATGGCCCCAGGACCCTTTCCCAAGCAGCCTGGGCTCCTAAGGGTCCCAGGGCAGCCAGTAAGGAAAGAAGCACTGGCTAAACTGAGAAGGGATCTGAGCAGGAGTCTGCAAGCAGGTGGGTCATGTTCTGCTGTGGTGCCTTTCCCAGCCTGGCAGGGCCCAGAGGAGCACAAATCTCCTGCTTGTCTGCCAAGTTCCCACCTTTGGTCTCTCAGACTTGCTGCCTTCATGCATGCTCACAGGTGGCTTCCCTGGGTGACAGAACCTTCTGTCCCATCAGCCAAGTTCACTCACAACACACCAAAACCACAGTGCTTTGATTGTCTGGGTCAGGGAGTGTGTTAGGATGCTTTGTGACTCCCAAACCTGCCTGCGACAACACTCAGCCCCCGCCAGCTGCCCACCACCCGCACCCGCCCCGTGGAACCTCTGGGCTCTGCCCAACCCTCCCTGGAGTAGTGGAGGGGGGCCGCCAGAGGAACACCACAGTGTGGGCCCCCGTCCCAGGCGCCTGCACTGCCCTCTCAGTCAGCCCATAGGGCTCTAGGGCTCATGGCTGAGCAGTGCAGACACGCCCTTGCCCTCCTGGTGCTTCAGGCTGCAGGCCCTATTCACACAAAAGGATTTGTACTGAACCTGCCATGGGTGCTGCAGACACAACATCACATCACAGGCAGGCTTAATCTGGGGAAGGGACCCTTCCTGGTGATGAGAGGACACAAGAGGTGAGCCCCCTGGATATCTTCACCCCTTATGCCAGGCGGAAAAGAAAGAGGGGCGCAGAGCATTTCAGGTGGAGGGACCGGCACATGTCAGGATGTGCAAAAGACAGAGCAGGTGGGGAGGCCTGAACAGGGAGGAGAGGGCAGTGAGCACTGACAGAGGAAACAGGATAATGCTTGGTATGCCTGCAGTGTGTGTGCCAGACAGAGAAACTGAGGCAGAGGGTGTCGCAGGGAGCACTGGCCAGAAGTCCCAAACCCCTGTCCTGTGCCTTGTGTGGGTTATGCCCGGGAAGCCTTCCCGCTCTGTCTGCCTTTCCCAGGCCCATCCCATACCCACCTTCTCAAGGATCCCCTGGGATTGCTCAGGCCACTCAGAGTTCCTGATGGCTGGCCACCTTTTGAGTTTATTGAGCTCCTGTCCTGCATTATTTTGTTATCCTGTGTAAGGAGCATTTGGAAACCGTGTCTTCAGCACCAGGCACAGAACCAAGGTTAGGCAGAAAGTAAATGAAGGTCAAACTAAGTTGAACTCCTCATCCCCTCAAAATCCAGGAGGGATTTTGGTAGAGCAGCAGCTGCATAGGAGATATGGCATTCTGCATGTGGAAGTTTGCATGGAGTGTGGGCAGCAAAAGTTTGCTGAATGAATGAATGATGGCATGAATGAAAGAATGTGTGAGTGGGATTAGAGGTGCTGTAGAATGATTTCAAGGCAAGCAGCTCTCCCTTCAACAGGGCAGGTGTGGGTGTCGGTTTCTGTCCTGGGTTCATGTCTTCATTGCCCAGGCAGTTTCTAGAGGCCCTGGAGGCCACAGTGCGAAGGGGCTGGAGGTGAGACTGGAGCAGGCATGAGGGATAATGCCATCTCCTGGCCTACAGGATAGAGAATCTGTTCATCAACTGCTTCATGCACATGTTCCAGTCTTCTTGGAATGACTTCGCCGATTTTGAGAAAATCTTCGTCAAGATCAGCAACACTATTTCCGGTGAGCATGCCTTTGGGGTCTCCATGGTCCTGGGGAGTCTTGCCAGGGAACTGGGCAGGGCTGTGCACCCCACCCAAGCATGGGAACTGGACCATCAGGCTGAGCTGCCCAATCCTCCCCATATCCCACGTTGGCACTGCCCCCCATGCACTCTGCTCACTGGTGACCACCCTCATGCCCAGAGGTTTCTCCTCCTTGGACATTCTAGGGGGAGCACCTTCAACCTCATTGTATCATCAAAAGTCTCAAAAATGTCAGAAATTATCAAAAATATCAGAAATATAGATTAGTAATGTAAGGTGTTTCCGAACAAAGGCCAAACTTAGCTTGGTTTTTAAGCATTACATAAAAGCTACATTGGGTTCCTTTGGATGAGGATGCATTTGGTAGAACAATAAGGTCATAATTGCTAGAGGGTTGTAGGAAGGACAAAGCGACAGATACATAAGGAAACAGGATGAGGGGCTGAAGAATGGGTACTGAGATAAACCTCAGGGGAATATATTCATAAATGATAAACCTGATAAGGAGTTAACATCCAAAATATATAAAGAACTCATATGACTCAACACCAAAAAAACAAATAACCCGACTAAAAAATGGGCAGAAGACCAGAATAGACAGTTCTCCAAAGAAGACACACAGATGGCCAACAGGCACATGAAAAGATGCTCCACATCCTAATCATCAGGGAAATGCAAATCAAAACCGCAGTGAGATACCACCTCACACCAGTTAGGATGGCAACATCCAAAGGCAAGGAGTAACAAGTGTTGGTGAGGATGTGGAGGGAAGGGAACCCTCCTACACTGCTGGTGGAAATGAAAATTGGTGCAGCCACTGTGGAAAGCAGAATGGAGCTTCCTCAAAAAACCAAAAATAGAAATATCATATGACCCAGTAACTCAACTTCTAGGAATTTACCTGAAGAAAACAAAATCTCTGATCCATAAAAGATATAAGCACCCTTATGTTTATTGCTGCATTATTTATGCAAGATATGGAAGCAACCAAAATATCCATTGATAGATAAATGGATAAAGATGTGGTACATATACACAGTAGAATATTATTCATCCATAAAAAGGATCCTGCCATTTTTAACAACTTGGATGGATCTAGAGGGTATTATGCTAAGTGAAATAAGCCAAAGGAAGAAAACCAAATACCATATAATCTCTCTTATATGTGGAATCTAAAAACAAAAGAATATGAACAAAACAACAGTAGACTGGCCACGGAGATGGTGGAGTGCAGCCTGGAGCGGCAGCTCACCTTACAGCAGGAGGTTGAGGTAGGACCCAGTTGGCTGGGGATGGTGACCAGGCCAACTCAGACAGCCATGTCTAGTTGGTCAGAAACCACTTCCTGCTGACCAGTGCTCACTGACCACTAGGCCGCTATCTCCAAGCTCATCCGTCTGGCTGTTTGCACAATTGGCTGCCCTCGGTGGTTATTTAAATATAAGACACTAAGAAGTGACTGGTGGTTACCATGGGGGAGGGGTTAGGGTGGGCAGTGAAATAGGTGAAGGGGATGAAGAGGCACAAAATCTCAGTCATAATATAAATTATTCAAGGGGATGAAGTATAGCACAGAGAATATAGTTAACAGTTCTGTAACATCTTCCTATGTTGACAGACAATAACTATACTGTTGGGGTGATGATTTAATAATGTAAATAACTATCAAATCACTATGCTGCATACTTGAAATCAATTTAATATTGTATATCAACTATGCTTCACTAAAAAAAATTTCAAAATGTATGACTAAAAAATAAATGAAAATATTAGAAAGTAAACAGAGGAGAAAAGAGAAGTAGAAGGAGAGCTTAAAGCTTAAAGCAAAAATTGGGGAAATGCAACCATCACTGGATACTTGGTGATATTAAGTGATTATTTAAATATTGATGAAATTCAGGGAAAAAAAGCAGCAGCTCTGGGGTAAAAACTGCCTTTGTAAATTGCTTCCCAAGATGCCCTTTTCCTCCCTGCCTTCTTCCATGGGGGGTTGGTGGGGGGAGGTTTCCATCTTGGGCAGAAGAACCTGAGTTGTTTATTTCTGTAGATACAGGGTTGTATGGGAGACCTAGAACTTACTCATCTTGCTTAACTGAAACTCTATGCTAACTGATTAGTACCTCCCCATTCACCCAGGCCCAGCCCCACCACTCCTGTCTTTGATTTTATGATTGTATGTTAGACACCTCCTATATACAGTATTTGCCTTTCTGTGACTGGCTTATTTCATAACTGTCCATGCTGTTATGTATCGCAAAATGTCCTTTATTTAAGGCTGGCTAGCAGTTCATTGAACGTATATGCCACATTTTCTTTATCCATTCCTCTGTGTATGGCCATGCAGGTTGTTTCCACATCTTAGCTATCGTGAATTGTGCTGCAATGATGTGAGTATGCAGGTAACTCTTCGAGATCTTATTTCAGTTCTTTTTGGATAAACACGCATTAGTGGGATAGCTGAATCACATGGCAGTTCTATTTTTAATTTTTTGAGGAAACTCCTTACTGTTTTCCATAGTGGCTGCACAATTTGCAGTCCACCAACAGGGCACCAAGATTCCAGTTTCTCCATGTCCTCACAACACTTGTCTCTTGTTTTTGTTTTTTTAAACAATAGCCATCCTGACAGGTGCAATGTGATAACTCATGTGGTTCGGGCTTGCATTTTCCTTTTGATTTGCAGCCATGAGCATTTTTTCATACACTTGTTGGCCATTTGTAGGTCTTGTTGGGTGAAATATCTGTTCAAGTTCTTTTCTTGTTTCTGAATTGGGTTATTAGGGTTTTATTTGCTATTGAGTTAGAGGAGTTCTGTACATATGGTGGAGATTAACACCTTATCAGATATATGGTTTGCAAATACCTTCTCTTATTCTGTAAGCTGTCTTTGCACTCTATTGATTGTTTCCTTTGCTGTGCAGAAGGTTTTTAATTTAATGCACTCTCATCTATTTTTTATTTTGTTCTTGCTTGCTCAGCTTGCCTTGGGGTCCCAGCAAGAGAGGAATGGTCACTACCATCTGTGGACCTCTTTTGTTCTAAGCCTTGAGTTAGAACCTTCTGAACCACAAAGGGAGGACTGGGTGGTGCCATGACCTGACCCAGTGGTCAAGAAGCTGGGTGTGGTGGGTGGAGCCCATGGTCATCCACCTGCCTGGGAGAGGGGACCCAGCAGGGATTCTGACTCTCAGCCAGGGTCAGAGGGCTGCAGCCTGGCTGGCCTTGCTCAGAGCTCAGGCTGGGCTTGACTCTCTCCCACTTAGAGCGGGTCATGAGTCACTGGCAAGAAGACCTCATGTTCGGCTACCAGTTCCTGAATGGCTGCAACCCTGTGTTGATCCAGCGCTGTACGCAGCTGCCAGAAAAGCTCCCAGTGACCATGGAGATGGTGGAATGCAGCCTGGAGCGGCAGCTCACCTTACAGCAGGAGGTTGAGGTAGGACCCAGTTGGCAGGGGATGGTGACAAGGCCAACTCAGACAGCCATGTCTAGTTGGTCAGAAACCACTTCCTGCTGACCAGTGCTCACTGGCTGCTAGGCCGCTATCTCCAAGCTCATCTGTCTGGCTGTTTGCACAATGGCTGCCCTCGGTGAGGTGGTCTCTTCCTTTCCTTGGACACTTATGAAAACTGTCTTGTCCTATTTAGGAGGAGAATTGAGGGTGCTATTCCTCCAGGATGCTTGGGTGTGGGAACATAATATCAATATTTTCAGTGTCAGTCTCAGTAATTGAAAGAGCTCCTGCTGACCAGGGACCTGCTGTGGGCCAGGCATGGTGAGAGATGCTTTCCATGCACAGCTACCACCTGACACCTACCTTGCAAAGGCGAGGAAACTGGAGAAATAAGCAAGCCTTGCATCAGAAGGAAACGACTGCTGGAAAATTTTTACTAACTGGAAATGTTGGTGTCATCTGCTTGCACCCTCAGCCCTTCTCTTCCCAGCCCTTCTTTCTGCTCTCATCTGCAGGGTCAGCCCCAGTTCCAAGACTAACCAAGTCTTGGGACACAAAGGGTTCCAACTGCCGCCACTGTGGATCTGGTGGAACTCAGTGTCAGACACATTTAATGCCAGGAACTTAAGGCCCTAGGACTGGCCCTTGGTCTCCCATCAGTTGCCTCTTCCTACTAGTGCCATGACGACTGCCTCCTGCCACCTCCCCCAGGGGTGCAGGTGGCCTTCCTCAGTTTCTGGTCACCCCACCTTGCTTCTCAGTTCACCCTGGGAGCCCAGCTAGAGAGGGATGGTCAGTGCCATCTGTGGACAGACCTCCTAGACCCCACACCCTACCCCAGCTAGAGGGTTGTAGGAAGGACAAAGCGACAGATACATAAGGAAACAGGATGAGGGGCTGAAGAATGGGTACTGAGATAAACCTCAGGGGAATATATTCATAAATGATAAACCTGATAAGGAGTTAACATCCAAAATATATAAAGAACTCATATGACTCAACACCAAAAAAACAAATAACCCGACTAAAAAATGGGCAGAAGACCAGAATAGACAGTTCTCCAAAGAAGACACACAGATGGCCAACAGGCACATGAAAAGATGCTCCACATCCTAATCATCAGGGAAATGCAAATCAAAACCGCAGTGAGATACCACCTCACACCAGTTAGGATGGCAACATCCAAAGGCAAGGAGTAACAAGTGTTGGTGAGGATGTGGAGGGAAGGGAACCCTCCTACACTGCTGGTGGAAATGAAAATTGGTGCAGCCACTGTGGAAAGCAGAATGGAGCTTCCTCAAAAAACCAAAAATAGAAATATCATATGACCCAGTAACTCAACTTCTAGGAATTTACCTGAAGAAAACAAAATCTCTGATCCATAAAAGATATAAGCACCCTTATGTTTATTGCTGCATTATTTATGCAAGATATGGAAGCAACCAAAATATCCATTGATAGATAAATGGATAAAGATGTGGTACATATACACAGTAGAATATTATTCATCCATAAAAAGGATCCTGCCATTTTTAACAACTTGGATGGATCTAGAGGGTATTATGCTAAGTGAAATAAGCCAAAGGAAGAAAACCAAATACCATATAATCTCTCTTATATGTGGAATCTAAAAACAAAAGAATATGAACAAAACAACAGTAGACTGGCCACGGAGATGGTGGAGTGCAGCCTGGAGCGGCAGCTCACCTTACAGCAGGAGGTTGAGGTAGGACCCAGTTGGCTGGGGATGGTGACCAGGCCAACTCAGACAGCCATGTCTAGTTGGTCAGAAACCACTTCCTGCTGACCAGTGCTCACTGACCACTAGGCCGCTATCTCCAAGCTCATCCGTCTGGCTGTTTGCACAATTGGCTGCCCTCGGTGGTTATTTAAATATAAGACACTAAGAAGTGACTGGTGGTTACCATGGGGGAGGGGTTAGGGTGGGCAGTGAAATAGGTGAAGGGGATGAAGAGGCACAAAATCTCAGTCATAATATAAATTATTCAAGGGGATGAAGTATAGCACAGAGAATATAGTTAACAGTTCTGTAACATCTTCCTATGTTGACAGACAATAACTATACTGTTGGGGTGATGATTTAATAATGTAAATAACTATCAAATCACTATGCTGCATACTTGAAATCAATTTAATATTGTATATCAACTATGCTTCACTAAAAAAAATTTCAAAATGTATGACTAAAAAATAAATGAAAATATTAGAAAGTAAACAGAGGAGAAAAGAGAAGTAGAAGGAGAGCTTAAAGCTTAAAGCAAAAATTGGGGAAATGCAACCATCACTGGATACTTGGTGATATTAAGTGATTATTTAAATATTGATGAAATTCAGGGAAAAAAAGCAGCAGCTCTGGGGTAAAAACTGCCTTTGTAAATTGCTTCCCAAGATGCCCTTTTCCTCCCTGCCTTCTTCCATGGGGGGTTGGTGGGGGGAGGTTTCCATCTTGGGCAGAAGAACCTGAGTTGTTTATTTCTGTAGATACAGGGTTGTATGGGAGACCTAGAACTTACTCATCTTGCTTAACTGAAACTCTATGCTAACTGATTAGTACCTCCCCATTCACCCAGGCCCAGCCCCACCACTCCTGTCTTTGATTTTATGATTGTATGTTAGACACCTCCTATATACAGTATTTGCCTTTCTGTGACTGGCTTATTTCATAACTGTCCATGCTGTTATGTATCGCAAAATGTCCTTTATTTAAGGCTGGCTAGCAGTTCATTGAACGTATATGCCACATTTTCTTTATCCATTCCTCTGTGTATGGCCATGCAGGTTGTTTCCACATCTTAGCTATCGTGAATTGTGCTGCAATGATGTGAGTATGCAGGTAACTCTTCGAGATCTTATTTCAGTTCTTTTTGGATAAACACGCATTAGTGGGATAGCTGAATCACATGGCAGTTCTATTTTTAATTTTTTGAGGAAACTCCTTACTGTTTTCCATAGTGGCTGCACAATTTGCAGTCCACCAACAGGGCACCAAGATTCCAGTTTCTCCATGTCCTCACAACACTTGTCTCTTGTTTTTGTTTTTTTAAACAATAGCCATCCTGACAGGTGCAATGTGATAACTCATGTGGTTCGGGCTTGCATTTTCCTTTTGATTTGCAGCCATGAGCATTTTTTCATACACTTGTTGGCCATTTGTAGGTCTTGTTGGGTGAAATATCTGTTCAAGTTCTTTTCTTGTTTCTGAATTGGGTTATTAGGGTTTTATTTGCTATTGAGTTAGAGGAGTTCTGTACATATGGTGGAGATTAACACCTTATCAGATATATGGTTTGCAAATACCTTCTCTTATTCTGTAAGCTGTCTTTGCACTCTATTGATTGTTTCCTTTGCTGTGCAGAAGGTTTTTAATTTAATGCACTCTCATCTATTTTTTATTTTGTTCTTGCTTGCTCAGCTTGCCTTGGGGTCCCAGCAAGAGAGGAATGGTCACTACCATCTGTGGACCTCTTTTGTTCTAAGCCTTGAGTTAGAACCTTCTGAACCACAAAGGGAGGACTGGGTGGTGCCATGACCTGACCCAGTGGTCAAGAAGCTGGGTGTGGTGGGTGGAGCCCATGGTCATCCACCTGCCTGGGAGAGGGGACCCAGCAGGGATTCTGACTCTCAGCCAGGGTCAGAGGGCTGCAGCCTGGCTGGCCTTGCTCAGAGCTCAGGCTGGGCTTGACTCTCTCCCACTTAGAGCGGGTCATGAGTCACTGGCAAGAAGACCTCATGTTCGGCTACCAGTTCCTGAATGGCTGCAACCCTGTGTTGATCCAGCGCTGTACGCAGCTGCCAGAAAAGCTCCCAGTGACCATGGAGATGGTGGAATGCAGCCTGGAGCGGCAGCTCACCTTACAGCAGGAGGTTGAGGTAGGACCCAGTTGGCAGGGGATGGTGACAAGGCCAACTCAGACAGCCATGTCTAGTTGGTCAGAAACCACTTCCTGCTGACCAGTGCTCACTGGCTGCTAGGCCGCTATCTCCAAGCTCATCTGTCTGGCTGTTTGCACAATGGCTGCCCTCGGTGAGGTGGTCTCTTCCTTTCCTTGGACACTTATGAAAACTGTCTTGTCCTATTTAGGAGGAGAATTGAGGGTGCTATTCCTCCAGGATGCTTGGGTGTGGGAACATAATATCAATATTTTCAGTGTCAGTCTCAGTAATTGAAAGAGCTCCTGCTGACCAGGGACCTGCTGTGGGCCAGGCATGGTGAGAGATGCTTTCCATGCACAGCTACCACCTGACACCTACCTTGCAAAGGCGAGGAAACTGGAGAAATAAGCAAGCCTTGCATCAGAAGGAAACGACTGCTGGAAAATTTTTACTAACTGGAAATGTTGGTGTCATCTGCTTGCACCCTCAGCCCTTCTCTTCCCAGCCCTTCTTTCTGCTCTCATCTGCAGGGTCAGCCCCAGTTCCAAGACTAACCAAGTCTTGGGACACAAAGGGTTCCAACTGCCGCCACTGTGGATCTGGTGGAACTCAGTGTCAGACACATTTAATGCCAGGAACTTAAGGCCCTAGGACTGGCCCTTGGTCTCCCATCAGTTGCCTCTTCCTACTAGTGCCATGACGACTGCCTCCTGCCACCTCCCCCAGGGGTGCAGGTGGCCTTCCTCAGTTTCTGGTCACCCCACCTTGCTTCTCAGTTCACCCTGGGAGCCCAGCTAGAGAGGGATGGTCAGTGCCATCTGTGGACAGACCTCCTAGACCCCACACCCTACCCCCTGGCTCTGGAGGGCCACCTACCCAGCTGAAGTCCCTGGGCAAGCCTCCTTCCCCAGGGCAGGCAGTTCTACCCCCCTCCTCCTGGACATGCCAAAGCTCCAGGACACTACTTGGTCACATGGACTGCTGACAGTGACACTTCCCACCCGTGCAGCATATATGCATACACACACACGCGCGCACACTCATGCACACACAGCAGTGCTCATCTGTATATTTACTTGCTGGGTGTGTTAACATTGATTCAGTGGCTATATGGGTCAGACGTCAAATGAGAGAATCACGGGACCTTAAAAGCCAGAGAATCCCAGAATTGGAAGAGACCAGGCAGCCATCTGTGCACCCAGCCATTCAAGCAAGGCACAGCCTCCACCCAGGAGTCCTTTCCACGTCTAGGGCTGAGGGGAATGGACACCATTGTCACAATGGTCATCTTTCCTTTAAGCAATGGTCTTGACATTTAGCTGTGCTTCTGGTGGTGAAGCAATAATCTAATAGGCATCACTGGCTGGAGTATTACACACACCACCCTGTGTGCGCCCCCAGCACAATTCTTAATTGTCTGAGCCAATCACTATGGCCAGGAGACTGGAGTACACTGAGCAAAAGGAGAGCGCAGGAGCCCTTGACAGGCAAGAACACTGTCTACTGCAGGATCCTAGAATGTCAGGCCTGAGAGAGAGGGCCGGCCCCCTCTCTGTCCAGAGGATGCAGCCAAGGCCCAGAGAGAGGGGATGGCTTGGGATAACAGAGAAATGCTCAGACGCAGGTCAAATCCCGGGCATCTTGGTTCCCAGGCCTGGGCTCCCAGGGCCTCCCCTTAGCCTGTCATGCATAACCTTAACTAACCTAGGCCCTTACAAGGTTTGATTGGCAGCCATTCCTTCTGTGCAGAAGTCACTGATGGTCATATCCACTCAGAAAGTCCAGTTGTCCAGCTCATCACAGAAGCCCAGCCAGTCCCATGACCCAACAGCCCAAGTGTCTCCACCTTCTTGACAAGGTGTCCTGAGGGTCCCTGTCACATGCTCTCCTGGGACCAGCCTCTGTCCTGGCAAGCAGCAGGCACAATCTTGTCCAATACCTCCCCGCCCTCCCTCCGCCCCTTCCCTCTTCCACACCCTGCCCCTCTCGGGCAGACTGCTAAGGCTCATCACTGCTGTCAGGCAACTGCCAGGGCCCTCCGTGTCCAAAAAGGAGGACCGCGGCCAGGCCCCAGCTCCTCTCCTTCCAGCGTTTGCAAAGCGCACACTCAGTGGCCCAACGCACCCTCTCCTGCAGAGCTGCGGACATGCATCTCACCTGAGTACCTGCGGACCCAGCTCTGCTACATGGCAGACCTGACCCCCTCCCCTCCCCTCCATTACTTGCTTAAAACAAGAAAGGCTTTAAAGAGGTGCCGCCAGCCCTCTACCCACATTCTTGAAGTGTGGCCTGAGCAGGCCCCAACTCAGGGAAAGGAGCCCTCCCGGTACTTAGTTCGGGCTCCCTCTAGAGGACTCAAGTGTATTCTGGAAAGGGCGGCTTTCTACCTTCCCCAAACCCCAGGTACATTCGTTTTGTTTTGAAGTATAATTACTACAGAAAAGGCAGGAATTAGGACGGTCAGCAAGATAAACAAATTTTCACCAGGTCACCCCACTGTGCCACGAGCCTCAGACCAGGACACAGAACACACCACCCCTGCAGATCCCCTGTTCCCGAAGAGGCCCTCCTGGAGAGTGCTCCCTTAGAGGCCCTCTTGTGACAGTGAAGACCCGCCCAAGGGGGACCCTCGTGCAGACCCTCAAGTTTTGTCCAGTTTTGAACTTTGTCTACATGGAGACCCACAGCCTCACTCCTTGATGTTTGCATTCTCTCACCTATTGCATCTAAATTCTGCATTCTTCTTACTAAAGAACTCTGGGTGGTCTTTCAACATCTTCATGGGAGTTGAGAAGATTTCGGGTACAACAAATAAGGAATTGGCCATTGCCGTTCCTTCATTTTACTGAAAACCTACCACAACCTATGAAAACTCTTGATAGGAATCAGCTTTTGAGTCAAAGGACAAAAGACCTATAAATTGAGTTAGAAGGGGGCCTCCAAAGTCAACTATCACTCCCCTGGGCCTGATTCTTGGGTGCATCTCTGGCTGAAATGGATTTGGATTTATTTCCTCTTGCCTCCTGCAGCAAGGGAACATTTTCATCGTGGACTATGAGCTGCTGGATGGCATTGATGCCAACAAGACAGACCCCAACACTCTGCAGTTCTTGGCCGCACCCATCTGCTTGCTGTACAAGAACCTGGCCAACAAGATCGTCCCCATTGCCATCCAGGTAGGCTGCCAACCCTGCTCCTTTCCTGGGCAGCCCCTCCCTCAGCAGCCAGGGCTCGGGGGGCAATGCCCTGGGTGTCTCTACTCAAACCTTGAGGAGGAGGCAACTGTGCCTCTTATCTCCTAAGGAGGGTGATGAAAGCCGAAGTCTCTGCCAGGTAGACAGGAAAACAAGAACTGAGGGCTCCCTGCCAGCCATGGGGAAGGCTGTCCACGAGAGGCAGAAAGGGCTGCACTCTGCAAAGTACACCTGAGGAATTCCTGGTAGGGTGAGGCGCTCTGTGGAGGACCTGCCCTGAGATAACATGCTTGCCCCCTAGCCCAGCATCCTGACCAGGGACCCAAATTAAAAAAGGGACCAACAGCGGCCAGGCCAGTGAAGCTATGAGATGAGCCACGGGCCAAGGCCACTGGGGGACCGTGGAGGCTGGGGTCCAGAACCGTGCCAGCCCTGGGATGCTGTCTTCCTGTGCCCACAAGCTCTTGTGTCCACTAAGGTTGATGGAGGAGGAGAAAGGGAGCAGTTAAGGGAGAGGCAGGCAGGGGCAGAGCTTCATCTCCCTCCATTCCTGGCTGCCCTCTGCTTCCTCAGAACACCAGGCAGCAATGGGTATGCAGACAGCAAGAACCCACACCCAGGAGAGCCCCAGGTGTAGGCCTGTGAAGGGCTGAGGGACTGCACAGTGGCCCTCATTGGGGACAGGGAGATAAGCATTCAGCAAACATGACTTGGAGGCAGCTGTGAACTGGGCACTGGATGCTGTGGGTGTAGGAGCTGGTTTTGCCTGGTGATAACCATATGCCAAGACTATCCTGCAGGTTAGCCTGCATAGTCCACAATCCCTTCCTCTGATTCTGAAATCCAAAAACTTCGAAAACTGCTAGGTTTTTCAAAAGTGTGTGGCAAATTCACAGGCAGCAAATTTACTCTGAACCTGCTGAAGAAGCTATTAAGAGGCTTTGTCCCATTCAGTGTAATGTGCATTTATATCACTGAAGAAATATTCATTTGACTGTAAAATATCACGTTACCCCTGACCCACAACAGGGGAGAAGGGTGCCACATAACAAAATAGCAGCACTAATGTCCTCAAAGTTCTGGATTCTGAAACATTTGGCCACCAGGGTTTCATACCAGGACCTGCCTTTATTCATGTCACCATCACTACAGGCCTCGAGGTAGGTGGGCAGTACTGCTATTGATCATTTTAAGCAGATAAGGAAACTGAGGCACAGGTATGCACCGTCTTCAGCAGAGCTGGGATTCAGGCGGGGCCATCTGGTCCCAGAGTCTGTGCTCCTCCCAGCCTCCCAGTCTCTGGGGCGTGTTTCCCTGAGAGTAGTTCCCAGCCTGTTATCAGAGTGCAGCCCTATACTTAAGAAACTGAAGCAAAAGCTAAAGGGACTGGTAATGAAAGAGAAGCATACAGAGCCAGGAGACGTGAGGAGAGGGGCCATTTGCCACTGGCGGGTGCCTCTGAAGCAGCCTACCCTCCAGAGGCCTGTCAATGTGGCCTAGAGTCGGAGGCTCACGTCCCAGCTCTGCCTCTTGCAGCAGGCCGAGGGATTTGGGCAGGTCACAGAGGAGCCCTGAACCTCTTCCCTCTCCTGGAAAGGCAGCCTTTGCAAACAATAAAGAACCATGCAAATGGAAGCCAGAGGATGGGAAGTCCAAAATCTGGTTCTTTGAAAAGGCCAAGAAAATAAATAACCTTGTGAGGCTGATGAAAGAAAACAATAGCAAAAATATACAAGATTAGGAATAAAGACACAATTCAGACTTGTGGTGGGAGGGGCAAAATAGGAAAAGGGGATAAGAGGTATGAAATTCTACTTACAAAATAAATAAGTCACAGGGATGGAAGTATAGTGAAGGGAATATAGCTGATAATATTGGAATAACTTTGTATGGTGACAGATGGTAACCACCCTTATCGTGGTGAGCATTTTGTAATGGAGATAACTGTTGGATCACTCTGTTGTACCCCTGAAACCAATATCACACTGTATGTCAACTCTACTTCAGTTTTTAAAAAAGAGTAATAACATGGCAACAAATTTGACAAGCCAGAGTAAATGGGTAAAAACCCAGTGAGATATACATTATTAGAAGAAATTGTAAGAAATAGACCGATTTCCATATAAGCAATTGGAAAGCCAGCTAAATAGCTAGACTGGTGAGAGCCAAATGATGAGCGACTGGGCTTTTGCCAACCTTCAGACAGCAGCCATTTCCAGAGCTCCTTAGTCTGTGTCAGCTCCTGAACTTATTCTGTGAAGCTGGCATAACCTTAGTGCTGAGACCCAATTCAGGCAGCCTCCAAAGAGAAAGCTGAAGACTGGTCTAAGTTACAAATACAGATCTTGAAAGAAATTTTAAACTGATATTAGCAAAGTGAATGCAGCAATGACTAGAATTAAGTAGGGTTTATTCCAGGTGTTTCAATATCAGGAAAGTTACCAGCATAATTCATTACATTAATAAGGAAAAATCTGATTGTATCAATTGTCACTAAAGGAGAATTAAGACATTTAATAACCACAATGAATAAATATTAACATAGTAATACAAGGACTCTCTTCTTCCAGATGATGAAGACAGGATATATTTAAAAATGGCACCCCTAAAACCATTCTGTTAAAATCATAAATAAGTATGCTGATATCACCATAGTTATTCCACATTGTCCTGGAGGTCTGAGCACATGGGACAGAGAGGAAAATAAAATAATCACTAAATAAAAAAACAGAGAAGACTTTTTGGTAATGATATGATGGTGGACCTAGAAAACCTGAGACTAATTTTTCAAAAAGCTACAGAATTAATGTTAGCAAGGTGTCTAAATAAATATACCACTGAAAAGCACCAATAGCTTTTCTCCGTATAGTAAATCTAATACTATGTAGATAAAAACTAAAATCATTTGAAAGGTAATAAAATGAAATCTTAACAAGTGCTTTCATATTGAGTAAGAAAAATTTGTATCATAAAAATGTCAGTTCTTATTAAAAATAATAATAATAATAAAGGGAGAAATGTGGGATCCACATATAAATCAAGTATAAAAATCAAATGAATATTCATATTTGACCTGATTGTTTATAGTTCATAATGCATGATCAAAACCGAAAGTCTCTGTGATGACTGCCCTTGTACTGTTCACCATGTAAGAACTTATTCACTATGTAAGAATTCGTTCACCATGTAAGAACTTGTTCGTTATGCTTCAGAAGATTGGAGACTGACGAGAATTAGGCTTGAGATGGATTAATGATTGTGCATTGAGCATTGACCCCCCTATACAGAATTTTATTGTTGTTAACAACCATTTGATCAATAAATATGAGAGATGCCCTCTCAAAAAAAAAATCCCCCCCAAAAAATTACTTGGGGTATTTTTTATTCCAATTTGGAATGTGTAATTGAGTAATAAGTTTAGACTTCATGACTTAGATTGTAATTAATTATATATGTATAGTATTGGAAGCTATATACTACAGGAAACTTTCAATAATAGTATTTTGTTTGCATTTGGCTTGCCAGACAATTGAAGTACTTCAAAAAGGAAACCAAATATATTAAATGCATAAATGCAATTGGGAATATTTAAAAACGTTTAAGTTTATAAATTGGACAAAATTCCCTTAAAAGTGATTAACATTTGCTAGATTTATACAGAGACCTACAAGCTGGACTTTTTAAAAAGGCGTAAGTAATGTTTTTAATTTTACTTTAATAAATTGAATATTAATTTTTTTAATTGAGAAAAAGTCAGTTCTATCACATTTTATCATTTATGACCTTTGTTTTTATTTTATTCTATTTTATTTTTAAATTTTTATTTTTATTTTTTCATCTGCACTTAATGTACTTCCAAATAAAATTTTCAATAAGCTTTTCTCTCTTCTTGAGGAGTGAGGGAGGAATAGGAACCTGAGAAAACCAAATAAAGAAATTTAAAGATTCAGATGGAAAAAGAAATGTTGAAGGATAGCCAAAAATGTTTTGAAAAGAAAAAACAGGCTGAACTTAACTTGATGAATATTAAAGAATACCATAAGGTCCCCATCCAAGGTGAATGCCTTGCATGAGAATAGACAGATTGGGGAACAGAATACAGATAAAGAGGCTAGAAATTGACCTTGATATGTAAGAATTTAATGTATGACAAGGGGGTGTTTTCAACTCAGTGAAAGGGGTGGAATTTCAGTGGTGCTATCACAACTGCCTGTCTATAAGGAAACAATTTAACTGGATCCAAATGTCATACTATTACAAAAATAAGTTTCATATGAAGCCAGGATTAAAATGTAAAAAAGTAAAAGAAACTTCAGGAGACCTGTGTGTAATATGGGTGCTAATGCTAAGGATACTTTTAAAAGTAAAGAGGTAACCAAGAAGTGTAAGGGAAAAGAAGGTGTATCTGATTATGTAATGTTTTAAAAATGAATGTGAAATTCACCAAAAACAAAACAAAAAGCAATTAATAGATTCCTGAAAATAACTGCTACAAAATGACAGATAAAGGATGACTAACTACAATATACAAATAGCTCCTTCAAATTGATAAGGGAAAGAAAATATTCCAGTAGAAAAATGGGCAGAGAATATGAACAGGCAACTGTTTGAAGAGGAAAGGTAACCATCCACATATGAAAAATTCTTGACCTCACCAGTAGAAAGGAAATGCAAATTAAAGTCACTATGGGATGCCACTTCTGACCCATCAGGTTGAACCAATAAAAAAGTGGTGACACCCAACTTCTAGCAAGGATGGGGCTCCCATGCACTGGCCATGAGTTGTTGGAGCTCTGGAATGTTCACACTACAACTGGTGGGGTCTGGGTGGTGGGCAATTATCCTGAGCCTGCACCTGAGCAGGTCCAGCACCAACTTTTGTGTGAGCTGTGCCTCCGTGAGGTTCTGGATTGCAGTGTGTGGTTGGAGGGCCCCGGCGGCAGAGCAGCTGTAGCCAAAGCAGTAAGAAGGACACTCAGCTCAGGGGCCTGTTTGCCATTTCAGTGTTCTGACAACTTGTACCACTGAGCAGGTGCATTCCAGCTGAACGAGGGAGCCACAGGACATGTCTGTCAAACAGAACAGCCATTCCCTGCCACCCAGGCTCTCCTCTAGTGCCCAGTCTGTGGAAATGAATGCACTAAGGCGAAAGGATGCCCATGCCTGGATAATGTCCATGTTGTTCATGGTGGGGAAAATAAACTTGAAAACACTCTGAAGGCATTAGAGGATTAACTGAATGAAACCTTTTTTGTGCAGACAATGAAACGTTACACCACCTTAAAAACGAATGAATTTTATCTATCCCAGCTGACCTGGAGGGGTTTCCACAAGGAGTTAAACAAAGCAAGACACAGGGTAGAGATGATATCTCAACTGAGTGCAAGAAAGCAGCCACCGCAGACATGACAGATACTTGTGTGGGCATGGAGAGGTGTAGGAGGACAAAGGACCACCCGGTTGGAACTCTGGGGTGGGCCAGCTGGGGCACCAGGTGAGCCACAGAAAAGAGAGACCGACAGTTATTATAATTGTGTTCAACTTATGGAAAGTTGAACAGATAAATATGCACATATACAAAGAAGCTGGATTATGAGATGGTGGTTTTTTTTCTTATGCTCTTCTGTAATGACTGGATTTTTTCTTTTACAATAAGTTCATGTAATTTTCTAATCATTAACAAAAGTCTACTTCCTTAACCTCCCCCCCCAAAAAAGAAATTAAGAAACAAAAACATGAAGGCATTTAGGGAGCATTCTGGAGTCCCAGAGTGTCACTAAGAGCCTGGACAGGAGTAGGGGGATAGGACGGGTCAGCTGCTCCCACAGTCTCAGTGAGTCTCCCCCTTGTCACTCTGCTGTGGAGCCACACTGGGCTCATCAGAGTGTAAGGCACTGTGCAACCCTCCCCAGCCCAGCCCTCATCTGCAGTTCTGCTGCCCAAATGCTGCTCCTCACCCTCCAGGACTCCGTCTGGATAATTCCTTCTCATCCTGAATGGCCACACTCCAAGGCTCCACGTCCTCCTCTGAATGATGGGGTCATGACAGTGTCTACCTTGCAGGCTCACATGCCATCACACTGTCATGTCTTGAAGTTGTGCCAGGCACAATGAATTCAAGTGGCTGTTGTCATAGCAAAGCTGGGGACCAGGGAATTGGTGGATGGGGACATCCAAATGTAGGGATATGTCTGCAGAGGTATCAACAGCCAGACCATGGAGTTTAGGGGCTTTATTTTCTGGCATTAAGAGGTGACTGGGTGTCTTTAAACAGGTATTGACATAACGTGATCGGCATTTTAGAAAAAAAGTCAGCTTGGCCCCAGTGTGGGGTTGAAGCTGGAAAGGGGAAGACGAGCCCTCTCTCTACCACAGGAGACTCATGGCCATGGGCTTGGGCTCATGTGACAGTGACCTGGGACGGTACATCTTGAAGGCCCTTGAGCCCTGGGAACTGGAGTTACTAACTGAGGGCAAGAAGGGAAGTCAGGAGCACAGAGGCAAAGCCCGGGGACAGCAGCATCTCAGGGAAGAGCAGGGAAAGGGAAAGTGAGAGATGGAAAAACAGCAGGGAGAAAAGTGGGCAGACATTTGGAGGGAAAGAGAGATGGGCAGAGGCGGAGGCGGGACCAGGGCGCCTCTCTCCTTGCTGAGATTTTCAGCCATCCTACTCACTTCCCATGGTAACTGTCCTCTTATCACAGATGGTGAACTGGGGTTCAGAAAGATCACTAAGTTGTCCAGAGTCAGGTAGTAAGTGAGGAGCTGGGACCGGAAATACGGACCCTGGGCCCTCTGCCCTCCTCTCAGGATTCAAAGGTTATTGCTAAAGAAACTTGGATTCCTCCGGAAATTTCCTGAGACAAGGCTCTCCTAGAGTTACAGTCCAGAGCAAAATACTGCAATATATTTTGTTTTCTTTCTCCAATATATCAGCTCAACCAAGTCCCAGGAGATGAGAACCCCATTTTTCTCCCTTCGGATGCAAAATATGACTGGCTCCTGGCCAAAATCTGGGTGCGCTCCAGTGACTTCCACGTCCACCAGACCGTCACCCACCTTCTGCGCACACATCTGGTGTCTGAAGTTTTTGGCATTGCCATGTACCGCCAGCTGCCTGCCGTGCACCCCATTTTCAAGGTACATCAAGCTATTGCCTCACCTGGGTGGGAGGGCACCTGGATATGGGGTGACAGGAGGGAGGGAGGCAGGGCACTGACCCCCACAGGCCTGTGGCTGGGAGTGGCCAGCAGAGAGGGATGCCTGGAGAGATGCACAGGGGCAGTAATGCCCCAGGGAACAGAGCTCCAAGTCTCTGGTTCCTGAGGACACAGCACCGGGTCTGACAGAGGCCCTGGCTGGCCTAGGAGTGGAGTTTGAAGAGGCAAGTAACCTCCGTGTGACTCTTACCTGATCCCAGACAGCAGCTTCCACTGTCTCTCCCTTCTGTCTCCCCAAATCCTACTGACACTGTCAGCTGGGGTGAGTGCAGGCTAAAAATAAACTCTATATGCCTCAATTTCCCCCTCTGTAAAACAGATCAAAATAGCACACCTGCCTCGTTCGCAGTATTACCATCACGATTAAAGTAGTTAAATTCAGAAAGCTTAAAGCAGTGCCTGGCACACAGTTAAACTCCACCCAACTGTTGACTATTATCATTCCTATCATGACCATTATCACTAAGTATCAAAGCTATATCCCCAGCCTCCTACAGCTGCTCAGCAGTGGACTGGGGAGGGCGTGCTGAGGGCCCTGGGGGCCCCTGAGAAGCCGCAGACCTGGCCTTCTCTGAGGTCTTCCTTGCTCCCCCACCAGCTCCTGGTAGCACACGTGCGGTTCACCATCGCCATCAACACCAAGGCCCGTGAGCAGCTCATCTGCGAGTATGGCCTCTTTGACAAGGTGGGTGCCTCCCACCCCTCCACACAGGGAAAAGCCTAACCCACTTTTCAGAACCTCCCCCCACCTGAGGTACAGATTTCCTCTCAGGAGACCCGCCATAGGCAGCATGCCGGCGGGGGCCTGGGAAGGTGGGAAGCTGCAGCCCTGAGTACAGCTGGGTCTCTGGCCATCCATCCCCCAACCCCACCAGCCACAGGACTACTGTCCCCTGCTGATCACCACCAACCGTGCTCTCTCTCTCCCCCACTCCGCCTCCCCTGCAATCCTCTGGCCTGCGGGTGTAGATCCTGCTTCCTGGCACATCTCCTCCCCTCTTCTGGGCCAGAGAGCTGTGTCTCTGCTCCCGCTCTGCTGCCTGTCCCTCCGAGCACAGCACCCCACCCCCTGCACTTCCAGGCCCTCAGGGCCCCCCTCCCCACCCTCACACCCTCCCAGGTAGCACCTGCTGCAGCCTTACCAAGCCTGGACCTTCACGGTAGCCCTCAACCCTGACCTGCCTCCTTTCCCACCTCCCACTGGTGAGCCAGCCGGATGAGCACTAAGGCTTAGCCACAGCTTGGGTTGCAAATGACAAAACCCAACTCAAACTGGCTGAAGCTGGAAAGGAAATGTATTGTCCCATATACCTGGACACAGCTGGGCTGAACGGGATGCAGACCAAAATGGCCCTGGGGACTCAAGTAATGTACCCAGGACACAGACACACTGGCTGGCACTCTTCCCTCTTTAAACTGTGTCAGCTTCATTTGCCCAGACAGGGTCACCCACGGGGCGGGGGACGGGACCTTGGAAACAGAGCTCCAGGCTCCTGTCCCCACACATGCGGTGACCGTCGGCTCCCATCCAGAAACAAAGTACTCTGATTGGTCTTGTTTGGGTCAGATGACCCCAGGAACCAGTGTTGGCACCCTGGCACCCAGGTCCTACCTTGAAGACCACCACGTGTATGCGTGTGTGTATGCGTGTGTGTGCTTGACATACTTGTGAGCATGTGTGCCTGCCCCTCAGCAGCTGGATGAGGATCAGAACCTCTCCTTATGCATCTCCCCAAGCACACAACAGGCCCTCAACAGAGCTGTGTGGGTTCTGGGCGCTGTGGCCGTCCCCTTTCTTTAGCCCAAAGATCACATTGCTGAGAGCAGTGCTCAGACTCTGGGCAGCCTGTGCTCAGCACCAGCGCAGGCCCGAGGGCCACCCCAGCCCAGGCCCCACACTCTGCCAGCGGTCCCCGCTGCCCTTCTGGGGAGGGGAGCCTGACCCTCCTGCCTGCTGCTGACCCAGGCCCCACACACGCCCCTCCACTTCAGCGCATTGTGTTAGGTGGGGCTGAGGAGCTTCCCTGTCACCTCCTCCCCCGGCTGCCCTTGGCATTGTTTCTGTTAAACACCCCTCCTGCCCCACCTCCCTGGCCACCCCCCTGCCCCTTCCAGTTTCTCACACAGCACTCCAGGGCTGGGAGGCTGGAGAGGGGGAGCCAGCTGCTGCTCACAGGGCACTCCCCCCACTCCAGGCCAATGCCACAGGGGGCGGTGGGCACGTGCAGATGGTGCAGAGGGCCATGCAGGACCTGACCTACAGCTCCCTGTGCTTTCCTGAGGCCATCAAGGCCCGGGGCATGGACAGTGCAGAGGACATCCCCTACTACTTCTACCGGGACGACGGGCTCCTGGTGTGGGAGGCCATCAAGACGTGAGTGCACTCTGGGGCTGCAGGACTGCTCTGTCCCTGATGGCCTCAAAGGGCTGGGCCAGGTGCCTGGACAGCTGACTCGTAGGCCAGGGTCCTGCCCCATTGTCAGGACATTGATGGAGGGAATGGGGGTATGCCGGGCTGGGGGAAGTGGGTATTGGCCGGAGTCTGGACATTAAGGAGTGACAGGGTCACCAACGTGGCACAGCCCTGGGGTGCAGGGGCACAGCTGTGCAGATCCTGGCTGGGTCACCCACTCCTAGACGGGCTCCCCCAAACCAGGTTCATGGCTGAGGTGGTGGGCATCTATTACAAGAGTGACCAGGTGGTGGCAGAGGATCAGGAGCTGCAGAACTTTGTGAATGACGTTTATGTGTACGGCATGCGGGGCAAGAAAGCCTCAGGTAGGGGATGCCCAGCTCTCCTCTGGGCCTCTCTTCTGCTCTTCCCTGCACCTAGGGCTTGTCTTGGGCAACGCTGCTCCCTGGCATCCGCCTTAGCCCCTGGTGCTGGGGCCAGAGTCCCCACGGGACCCCTGACCACCAGTGTGCCTCACAGGGACATCTCAGAGGCTTTCTGTGGCCCCTGAGAGCCCAGGTGACAAAGAGCAGGAACAAAGGCCAAGGGGCTCTTCCTTCCCAGCGTGTCTTGCCCATGCCTGGCCCCCCCACACTTGGGTGTGGGAACCAGGGACAGGGTGGGGTGGGGGGTGCCTGTGAGTCATCCACCCATCCAGGGAACAGGCCTCAGCCACTGAATGGCTCTGCCTCAGGCTTCCCCAAGTCCATCAAGACCAGGGAGAAGCTGTCAGAGTACCTGACCGTGGTCATCTTCACAGCCTCAGCCCAGCATGCAGCGGTGAACTTCGGCCAGGTGGGCAAGGGCAGGTGGGCTCTCTGGGCGGGAAACCACCAGACCACTCCTGATGTGGGGGTGGGGCCACCCCTCTTCCTAGTTTTGCAGGGCAGACTTCAGGCAGTCTCAGTGGCAGGCTGCCTGGCCTTGCTGGAGTGGGAGAAGGCATGGGAGGCGACTGGCCCCCGCCCTCCCTGTCGGGCACGTGGGGGGCTGCTGGCTGAGGAAGTGCCCACACGTGACCATGGCTGCCCCTGCAGTACGACTGGTGCTCCTGGATCCCCAATGCTCCCCCAACCATGCGAGCCCCGCCACCCACAGCCAAGGGTATGGTCACCATCGAGCAGATCGTGGCCACACTGCCAGACCGTGGCCGCTCTTGCTGGCATCTGGGTGCTGTGTGGGCGCTGAGCCAGTTCCAGGAAAATGAGGTGAGACCCGGAGGCTGTCCTGCCGTCTGGAAGGCAGATCACATAGGTTTAACCTGTCCTCAACCTCAGGGCTTTCTGATCCACGGCTCAGGCTGGACACCTGCAGGCCAGGAATCCTGACTTCAAAGCTAGAAGGGCCCTCAGGGTCCTCAGGCCTGAGCCTGGGTGGAACTCAGGGTGGGTGGGGCAGGAGAGCAGGGGACTGTGCTGACTAGTGACACTCCCCACTGGGCACACCACCACCCCAGCTATTGACAAAGGTCTTTCATGGGGGTTTCTCTCTAGCATCCCACATCTCCTGGATAGCCCCCCATTCATTCCCATGCATGTACACCTTGTTCAACCTGATAGCAACACTAGGGAGCCAGTACCTCAGGCACACCCTGTGGCATCAGATCAGGGATGCACAGAAGGACTATGCCAGGGCACAAGCCCCAGAGCCATGGGCATTTTCATGGTCATTTAAGTTGCTTTGGGGACTTTGATAATGTGTTGGTCCCTCACTAACATCTTTGTGTATGTGTCTTCCACATGTTGTCAATAGAGCCAGAGGATACATTCCTTGTAGAGGAATTTCTTGGTCAAAGAATGTTGAGACTGAACTGCCCCCCACAAACTAAATCCAAAATCCTAGCAATGGCGTATGTTTCTCCTACCCTTTCCAGCCATGGGTGTGAAACTCTCCAATTTTAACAATCTAATAGTTGTTTAAAAGACATGTCTAGTTTTAAACAAATTAAAAAGCAATAAAACAGACATCTATGTGAGTGTGCAAATGAGCGCACCCCAAAAGGGCCTCCTTTGCTGTCCTGTGCTGTCCTCTGCTGGAGAAGAGAAGGCCAGTGCTGGCCTCCAGGTCCCTGCCACCTGGAGCCCAGCTAGGAAGGTAGGGGCGCTGCACAGGACAGGCCGGCAGGAGTGCACAGCCACACAGCTGGAACCACCAGTGGCCTCCACATTCACCTGCACGGCCACATATCCTTACAGCCACCCTGCGGCAGAACAGCTCTTTCCCCATGCATCCGTAAGGCCTGCCCAGGAGTGTCTGGGGCTCAGCAGGTGTCAGAGCATGGAGATGGGGGGATGAGTACATGCTCACTTCCTCACCTAACAAAGGATGGGCTCTGGGATAGGACAAAGCAGTTTGCATCACCTTGTCACAGATTAACCTGTCTGTCCATGTCTGGGCCCTCAGCTGTTCCTGGGCATGTACCCAGAGGAGCATTTCGTCGAGAGGCCTGTAAAGGAGGCCATGGCCCAATTCCGCAAAAACCTTGATGCCGTCGTCAGGGTGATCGCCGAGCGCAACAAGAACAAGAAGCTGCCTTATTACTATTTGTCCCCAGACAGGATTCCCAACAGCGTGGCCATCTGAGTGGCCACCTGAGCCAGTCTCCCTGCAGGACAGCCGGCGGCCTGAGAGCTTAGGACCCAGACTCCGGCCTGCTCGGGTGGGCCGGCCCCCTGGAATCTGGCTCCTCCAAGGCCCTCCAAGATTACTGAGAATTCTGCCCTCAGGTCCCAGGCTGACTGGCTTCACGCCAGAGGCTGCCCCAGTTTGGGCCACGTTATAGCTAAGCTTTGGTGCATTTTCTTGTTTGTTCCTCAATCTTTATTGAATCCCATACTTTGATCAAAGTGTGTAAACACTGCAGGGACCCTCCCTACACAGGACTTTGAGGCTTCTTGCCCTAGACCTAGCTCGGTGCTTCCACACCAGGCAGTCACAGCAACAGGAAACCTGACAGACATTTGTTCTATTGGAGACAATAAAATGATTATTCTGTTCTTTTATGCTTACTTAGTCTAACTTCTTGCATACAGTGGGCACCCAAATTCTTGTTGAATGAACTAAGAATTATGGAATGCATTTAAAACAAGTCTTCCACATGCTATGTCCCAGTCACTCCAAACAACTCACATCCCCCCCAATAAAAAAGCCAGAACCGTTGGGATTCCAACTAGGCCAAACCCTCCTCCCTCCCCCAAATCTGGATAGAAGGTACTTTTCTCTTGTCTTTGTCTAGAAAGCCTTTATGTTTCTTCAGAACACACCCCAAATGTCATCCCCTCATGACTGCCCAGATAGAGCTTCTCTATCCCCCACGGTTTTGTCTAAACCTCTATTTAGACCCACATGGTCTCTCCCTTGAAACCAGAGCCCCTGGAGGACAGAGATCTCACCTTACCGATTTCTGTGCCCCTGTGCTGGCCCAGGTCCGGTGTAAGGTATCAGCTTGCTGCTCCCTCATTTTTCTCCTGGCAGGGCACCTAACCTACTGATTCCAGGCATTGTCTCAGGAGCTGGGAGCATTTTCCCCTGTAACAGAGGACTCAAAATAACTTGTAAAAATGCATTTTCTTTCCCCAGGCCCAAGAGGCAGAGCCAGCCCTGAGCTTGGCATGGCCATCCACTGTTTCCTCCCACACACATGCCCGCCTCATAATCCCAAGCCTCTAGCTTCAGAATCAGATCAGCAGGGTCTCCAGAATGTCTGGAAGGTGTACTCAGTGTGGCAGCCAGCACTCAACGTCTAGGTGAAAGGCTTCCACGAGGGCCAACGTGGCACAGAGAAGGTATGTGTGTTCCTGAAACCACAAGTACTGAGGACACTTGGCCACTGAGGTGGGTACTAGAGAGACTGAGGTCCAGCCCCTTACTGGCCCAGACTTCCTACCATCCTGCATAGGGCAAACTGCAAGCAGTTCAATTGAGCATAAAACAACTAAGCTGAGATTTGAGCTTTAACACAGTTTTTAGTTTAAGTTCAACCAAATTAACTGCTTGCTAAAAAAAATGTTAACACTCTTCAGAGAAACATAAGAGAACTCAGAATCTGTACAAAGTAACATTCACAATAGCCAAACACAATCCAAAATCATTCAGCCATACAGAACATTGAGAAAACATGACCTAGTCTCAAGAGAAAAGACAACAGACAGAAACTAATCACAAGATTATCCAGATGTTAGAATTAGTAGACAAAGATTTTAATGAAGACTTTTATACCTGTGTTCAGTGAGTTAAAGGAAATATGCTACCAGTTTATGACAGGATAGAAGTCTCAGCAGAGGACTATGCATTGTAAGAGGAGGAGGAGGAGGGGAGGGAAGAGCAGGGAAGCAGGAGGAGGAAGGGGCAAAGAACCACCAGATGGAAATTTTAGAAAAATATCTGGTAAAAAAATAACTGAATGGGCTTAATAGCAGAACAGATGGCAGAACAGAGACAGTGAACTTGAAGTTAGATCAATAGAAATGACCCAATCTATAGAACAGAGAGAATTTTTCTTACATGAACAGAGCCTCAGAGATCTATGGGGCAATGCCAGAAGGTTTATCATGCACGTAATTGGAGCCCCAGGAGAGGGGAGGTGAAAGGGGAGGATGACCTCCCCAGGCGTCCACATGGCCCGCTGGGCTTCCCTGCATGGAGGCGGCAGCCTTGAGTGTATCCGTTAAAAAGGGAAACCAGGTGGCTTACCTGCACTGCCTTGATCTCTAACGCTACCTTTGAACAGGCGTGGCAGGGATGGTCAGCCCCATCAGGCGAGTAAACTGAAGCTCAGGGAAGACCAGGAGCCCATGACAGGCCACCAGCCTGAGGGGAGCTGGCCAAGCCCATGCTCTGTGATGCCCTTGGGTGATCTGCACCTCTGTACCTTCCATCTCCTTTTTAAGAATCTACTTCAAAGGCCTCTGAAGCAATAAAGCCTTTGCCACCAGGCCTCTGGGAGGCAGGACTCCCAACAGAACAGAAGTTGCTCAGGTAGCTGCTAATTCAACCCAGCAGAGCTGCTCCTAGGAACTCTACAATCTCCCTCCTACAACTCTACAACCTTCCTTCCTCCATCGGAAATGGCGGGATGAGCCCAGAGATCTCAGTGCCATCCCTTGGGCCTGGGCCTCTGTGGGGCTGAATAAGTGGGGGTGGAAGAATTGGAACTTGGCTATATTTCCTCCCAGACATCCCAGAAACTGGCTGAGATCTTGAGGGTGGGTGGGAGGAAAGCCCTGAGTCAGAGAGGCTCTCAGTGACAGAGCAATGTCCTTCTGGGCCTCAGTTTCCCAGCTATATGTGGGGTCAGGCTGGAGTGGCAGGTGGAGACGTGGGGGGTGGGGCAAGCACAGACCACTTAAAGACTATGGGCATTCTTCCAGGTGCATGACCCAGGTGCTCACAGTCCTTGGGGGACCATACCTCCTGTGGCTAAGGAAACCTCCTGGCCCTGGACCAGGGTTCCCAGACGACTGGATTTTCTGGACCAGAAAAGTTTTGAGAGAAAATCTGGAGGGACATTTGGGTTACCAAGCTTTTGTTGATAGGAACCAACCAGTCAACAGAAAGTACCCCCACCAAGAGCAACCATGTACTATCATCACCATTTCATAAAAGGACTTTTAACAACAGCAAAGTGGGATATGGACAATGGACCTTCCTCTTTCTCACACAAAACCTATGCTGCCTTTTTCCTATCTCACCCCAGCAGCCTTGCAGACTCTGCCACAGCAGTGCCAGACACCACAGCCAGGCCAGCTCAGTCCCGGGGAGTGTGTGCAGGGGACACTGATATTACGCCAGTAGAGTCTGAACTCTGCTCCTCTCATTTCAGCTCCAAGAAGCAGCTTGGAAAGGCAGGGCAGAAGCAGGCTTCTCTGCTGGCTGAGGGGCTGGGCCCTGCCACCCCCAGAGGAACAGCTCTTTCCAGATCCAGCCATGTTGAGTGTAGCAGGACTCCTGGTCACTATGACGCTAAGAAGCCAGAAGGACAGGCCATGGATGGGGCTCATCTTCACTGCTGACAGCACGCGGCTGTGCACCAACTCTAGGGGCACTGCATTCATACAGACCAAGGGCTGCCCATTTCCTATAAAGGGTTATGTGTAAATATTTTAGGCTTTGCAGACAATAGGATCTGTCCCAACCTTTCTTCGCTACTGTAGCAGAAAAATGAGCTGTATACAATGTGTGAGTGAATGGACACAGCTGTATGCCTGAAAGTTTATTTACAAAACAGGATGCTGGTCTGCAAGCAGTTTGCCACCCCAACACAGAGGTTTGAAAGTGCCCTCTAGAGGTGTGCCATGCAGCAGGCCCAACACCCTCTCTTTGTGGCTGGTGTCAAAGGGACGGAAGGTCTGGGGGCAGCATGGTCTTGAGCTTGCCTGCAACAAGATCCCATACTGTGTTTCTTCAGCCATATTCATTAAACTCATAGAGTCCCAAAAGTAGTCTCCTCTTGGCAGTCCCCACTTCACATTCTTATGGAAGCAGATTTCTCTTTTCAGCTCCTCCCTCTGCCCCACGCCTTCCAACCTGTGGTAGAGCACCTGAGCTCAGGAGGCATCCTGGCTTCCCCGTCCCAAAGCAGGTTCACCAGCTGTGCACTCACTTTCCCCTTAGAAGCCTCAACGGCTCCATGCAGTTCCGGGGACCTCTTCTCTGCCGAGCTTGTACAGGACAATACTTGGCAAAGCACCTCTTGGGTTGTCCTTAACTCGGAATTCACCGAGGATACATATGTCTGGGGGCAGTCCCAGCCTCCCTCCTCTCACCTCATGCACACAGGTAAAGCCTAGCGCCCACCCTCAGCACTGAAGGCAGTTTGCAGTCTTGAGCTTGGAGGCTCCGTGGCACTGCCATTACTTGGAAAAGCACCATCAGAAGCCAGCACATGCAGCCAAGCTAGGCAGTCACTAGCAATCCTGCTGGTCCTCCCTGCTTTGCTCACTCAGCTGGGCTGTCGCTCAGTGTTTCAAGAGAGAAGGCTGTGTGCACCCTGAGCTTGAGTCTGATTTCCTGACTCAAGGCAGTGAGTCCAAGGACAGCCTGGATGTTTGAAACAAGCACAGCTGTGTGAACTGCCTCAGTGTCCCTCCCAGGCCCACACAACCTCCCAAGTCCACCCTGCCCCCCACCACGAGTGTCGAGGGAGCCATCCTCGCTGACATGCAAGCCAGAGGAGCCAGGAAAGGGGGGCAGGACCACTGGAGTGCCTGCCAATGACTCCACCTCCTTGCAGGAAAACACTGGCATGGCAAAACACTTTCCTTTTTAAAGAAACGCTTTATTGCTGCAAGTAAACAGCCCCCGCCCCCCGTGTATAATGCAACCCCCCCAACAGAGAATTAATTATTCAAGTGGTAATACTGAGAAAGTGAACATACACAAAAGAATACAGAACTAGACATTTAGAGAACTAGAAACTTTCTAAGTCACAAAAAAATGTCAAATGTGAAGTGCCTTTTAGAAATGACACCACACATGCCAGTGTAAATTTGGTTTTTATTAACAATCAACTCTCTATAAACATTGCATCTAAATAGGTGATAAACTGCACAACTTAATTACTTCCAAAACAAAGATAAATGCTTTTATTTACCTGCGTTTTGGTCTTTCCTTGGGCTAGAAATGGAAGCTGCATATTTCAAATCAGATCCAGAAGGGAAAGTATTTGGAAAGTGTCCTGTATCAGGCCAAATCCACAGCATAGTAGGCCTCTAGCCTGCTGCTCCCTGTGCCCCTCCAGCCCTGCCGCCTCCCACCAGGCAGCAGTGGCATACAGGCATTACCTGATGCTCTGCCTGGGGCCTGCACGGCCACAGCAGGGAGGGCGCACCAGCAGTTTGGAAACTAGACCCGTAAGATTGAAAAGAACGGATTGAGGCAAAAAAGAAAGAGACAGTGGCAGGCCTGGAGAAAGAAGAGGCCTTTTACAGTCTCCAGGAAGTTCTCAAACTTAGGCATGAAATCCAAAGCTGAGGTCAGAAGCTCTCGAGTTGTACTG